GGGACGGATTGGTAGGTGGGTGGATGGATGTGCATGTGGCTCAGAGGCGGGATGGAAGGATGCGTGGGATGGATGGCACAGATGGTGAGACGTGTTGGATAAATGGAAAGGAACAGGTGTATGTGTGGACACACAGATCGATGGATGGATGTGTGTCTATATATGGAGTAGTGCACTGGCACCAGATTCCTCCTTGCCCTGGCGGGTGCTCAACCCCTTCCGCACACCCCCACCCCGCCTTTTCCCACCCCCGCTCCGCCCCGTCCCACCTCTTCCCGCCAGGCCCACCCCCTCCCCTGAGCTCCTCCCCCTCCCCCCACCGCCTCCTGTACGCCGCGGAACAGCTGATCACGGCGGGTGGGAGGTGCTGGGAGGGAGGGGGAGGAGCTAACTGCCGGTGGGTGCTGAGCACCCACTAATTTTTTCAATGGGGATCTTTCCATTGACGTTGGAGGCTTTGTTCTCTCTCCTTTGTTCTTCCTTCCCCCTCTCTCTCTGCCCCCCCCCCAGCTCAGCTCTCACAATGATTTGTGCCGGGGTGACCCCTCTGTAACGAAGGTGCCCGTGGGAGCCAGCTGAGGTCACTCAATTAGGGTGAACTGCAAACAAAATGGGGCAAACAAACCCCAAACGCTGGTGTATCTTCCAATACTGAGATTTACCAACCAGCCCAAAACAGCCTCTGTGTTACCTCACTGGTTACTCAGACGTCCAAACAACGCAGTTTCCTTAAAGTGCCCAGCCACAGGCCTCCATCCAGACACACACGTCAAACATATGATGATGATTACTGAAAATCTTCTTTCATCATATACAAGAAAAGGTTCTTCCAACCGCAAAGGATCGGTCCTAGACCCAGGTCAAATGATAACTTAGATCTTACCCAAAATACACACTACAGCCAATTCTTATTAACTAAACTAACATTTATTAAAAAAGAAAAGCGAGAGAGTGTTGGTTCAAAGATCAATATACAGACAGACTTGAATTCAATTCTTGAGGTTCAGACACAGCAGAGATGAGCTTGTAGTTTCCAAAAGTCCTTTTAGAAATAGTCCCGAGGTTATAGTCCAATGTCCATGTTCAGGGCGGCTCCAGTCAGTGACTGGGGATCTCAATCCTTGTGGCTTAAGGTTTCCCCCTCTTGAAACCCAAAGCAGATCTGAGATGAAGCTGGATCGTGTCCCAGGGTTTTTATACATTTCCAGCAGCCGCTCGGCCTGAGAAAACAACAAACATCCTGGCAATGAGCACAGGGTAATTTATCCATTAAACAGTTCAGATCCAGGTCACCACGACCTGCAAAGAGATGATAATAATAATAATTAATAGAGACAATAATACTATTTCACACAAGTGTCTTCCTAAATGTTAATATTCCTTTTTTTGATCTTTGAATCATAGCGATAGACAAGACTTGTTTGCTTACATCATAAGACCTGAGCAAACACCCCCCCTTCTCTCTCTAACAATGCCGGCTGCATTTCAAAGGTCTGTTCAGTTACAGATCTTCCTAACCAGTCTCTAAAGTTCGGCCCTGGGTCAGGTCAGTCTGGGAGTTAATTAACTCTTTCTGGCCCGGTCACCTGTCAATGAGATATTATATTGCACTCATAACGTCACACCCTCCATGGGGCGGGATGACCGTGGGGAACCGGGAATGTGGGATCCTCTTTGCAGACATGCCCCGTCCGTCTGTCTGTCCCCAGCTCTCCTTCCCAGCTGCAGGATCCAGCTGTGTCCTGGGGCCGGTCCCTGGGGCTCCTTGCACCCTCCCCCTGCTGATCCTCTCTGCAGATCCCCTCTGGCTAGGAATAATCCAGCCCCCCAAGAACCAGGAAAGCTGCCCCCAACCCTGGATGTTGCCTTCATCCCCCTCTCTCTGTTCCCACCACAGCGCGGCAGAAGGAGGAACCTGCCCCCCAGCCCAGCCTGGGGGAGCTCTCGGCCTCTGACATCACCCACAACTCCACCCGGCTCTCCTGGACCGTCCAGGCCGGGGACTTCGACTCCTTCCTCCTCCAGTACAAGGACGCGGAGGGCAAACCCCAGGCGCTGCCCGTGGACGGGGGATCCCGCACAGTCACAGTAACCAACCTGACCCCCTCCCACAGATACAAGTTCAACCTTTACGGCGTCTCCGGCCGCAAGCGCCTCGGCCCCGTCTCCACCGACGCCGTCACAGGTCAGCGGCTGCTCCAAGAGTCCTGGCCCCTACCCCTCCCACCCACTTTGCTTTGCAGTGTCAGAGACACCGACCCCTGGGCTGGGACCTTCCGAGGGAGATGAGTCCAATCCTCCAGACTTCACAAGCAGATGGCCGGCAAGAGAGAGTGGCTGGCTGGCTGGCTGGTTGGCTGGCTAGGTGGGGGTGTGGATGTACATGGGGCAGGTTGAGTGAATCGATACTTATGTATAGGGATGGATGACTGAATGAATAGGTAGATGGATGACTGTCTATAGGGGTGAATGAAGATGTATGAATAAATAGAGGAATGGATATTTATGGGGATGGATGGATGGACGGACAGAAGGACAGGTGGGAAGACAGATGTGAATTAGAATGGATGGGTGGGCAGGTGTATGTGTATGAAAATGGACAGCAGGAAGGGTTGGCAGAGGTGTATTGGGATGGATGGAGGGATGGGGGGAAGGGTGGGCGGAGGTGTATCGGGATGGAGGGAGGGAAGCGGGGAAGGGTGGGCGGAGGTGTGTCGGGATGGAGGGAGGGATGGGGGAAGGGTGGGCGGAGGTGTATCGGGATGGAGGGAGGGAAGCGGGGAAGGGTGGACGGAGGTGTATCGGGACGGATGGAGGGAGGGATGGGGGAAGGGTTGGCAGAGGTGTATCGGGATGAAGGGAGCGACGGGGGAAGGGTGGGCGGAGGTGTATCGGGCCAGATGGAGGGAAGCGGGGGAAGGGTTGGCAGAGGTGTATTGGGACGGATGGAGGCACGGGGGAAGGGTGGGTGGAGGTGTATCGGGACGGATGGAGGGACGGGGGAAGTCTGGGCGAAGGTGTATCGGGACAGATGGAGGGACTGGTGAGAGCAGGTGTATCGGGACGGATGGAGGGAAGCGGGGGAAGGATGGGAGGAGGTGTATCGGGACGGATGGAGGGAAGCGGGGGAAGGATGGGAGGAGGTGTATCGGGACGGATGGAGGGACGGGGGAAGGGTGGGCGGAGGTGTATCGGGACGGATGGAGGGATGGGGGAAGGGTGGGCGGAGGTGTATCGGGATGGATGGAGGGAGGGGGGAAGGGTGGGCGGAGGTGTATCGGGACGGATGGAGGGACTAGGGAAGTCTGGGCGAAGGTGTATCGGGACGGATGGAGGGACTGGTGAGCGCAGGTGTATCGGGACGGATGGAGGGAAGCGGGAGAAGGATGGGAGGAAGTGTATCGGGACCGATGGAGGGACGGGGGAAGGGTGGGCGGAGGTGTATCGCAACGGATGGAGGGACTGGGGAAGGGTGGGCGGAGGTCTTTGGGGACGGATGGAAGGGTGGGCAGAGGTGTATTGGAATGGATGCAGGGATGGGGGGAAGGGTGGGCAGAGGTGTATTGGGATGGATGGATAGTGGGTGGATGTGGGTGGGGAAGGATGGGCGTTTTGTGGGATGCACAGGTAGCTGTGTATGTGTAACTCTGTGACCAGCTGCCATTGTCAGAACCAAGGACCAGATGGTTGTGGTGATGAATGCATGGATGGACGGCTAGTCGGATGGCTGGTATGGTTATGGATGGATGGATGGACGGCTAGACGGACGGCTGGTATGGTGATGGATGGATGGATGTGTATGGGGATAGAAGATGGAGGATTTTCTGGGGCTGGATGGGTGTCAATAGGGATCTTTACAGTGATGTTGGTGGCTTGGGTTCACCCCCTTCTCTTTTTCTGTCATTTGTTCTTCCTTCCCCATCTCTCCTCCCGTCTCAGCTCAGCTCTCACCGAGGTTTGTGCTGGTCGCTCTGGGCCGACCCCTCCATGGAGGTGGGATGGCTGCGGGGAATTCGGGAATGTGGGACCCTCTTTATAGACTTTCACCATCCGCCTGTCTGCAACCCTACTTCCCAGAAGCAGGATCCATCTGTGTCCTGGGACTGGTCCCTGGGGCTCCCTACACTCTCCCCCCGCTAATCCTCTCTGCAGATCCCCTCTGGCTCAGAATAACCCAGACCCCCAAGGATCCGGTGAGCCACCCGTACCCCGGCCGTGCTCTTCACCCCCCTCTCTCTCTTCCAGCCGTGGTGCCGTGGGGGGAGGAGGTACCCACCGCCCAGCCCAGACTGGGGAAGCTTTCGGCCTCTGACGTCACCCACAATTCCACCCTGCTCTCCTGGACCGTCCAGGCCGGGAACTTTGACTCCTTCCTCCTGCAGTACAAGGACGCGGAGGGCAAACTCCAGGCGCTGCCCGTGGACGGGGGATCCCGCACAGTCACAGTAACCAACCTGGCCCCCTCCCAAACATACAAGTTCAACCTCTACGGCATTTCCAGCCGCAAGCGCCTCGGCCCCATCTCCACCGACACCGTCACAGGTCAGCGGCTGCTCCTGGGTGTGCCGAGCCCTTCCCCTTGTACCCCACTTTGCCCTGCAGCACTATAGCGGTGCTGGCCATCGGGAAGATATCCTTCTCTTCCATCTCTCTTCGTTGTCTCTCCATTGCACAGGAGCTTGGGGGTCCCAGATGCTGCTTCCAGCCCATGTTCCTCTGTCCTGCTTGTCTGAGTCTGCCCCAGTCCCCCTTCCTTGGACTGTCCATGGACCTCTTTATGGTGCCTCCCCATGACTGTGTACTCCTCCATCCATCTCCAGCATGCAGCCACACCTCTATCCATCCATCCATCCATCCATCCACCCACAGCATCCATCCATCTCCATCATGTACCCACACCTCCATCCGTCCCCAGCATCCATCCATCCACAGCATCCATCCATCCATCCATCCATCCATCCATCCATTCACCCACAGCATGCATCCATCTCCATCATGTACCCACACCTCCATCCATCCA